ATAATAATGATGACATTTTAATGTGCGTTAACCATTGCTTTTCTGTCTTGGTTTAATTTTTTTTTTTTTTAATTAAAAATTATAAGTCAACCACTGAAGCAAGAAATTCCATCACATTGAAGTCTGTCGTGGCTGGCAATGTTCAGTCTTGGATTTTATTTATTTGTTTTGAATGACATGGCTTGGCTCTATTTTGTCATATGTACCAAAATCTGCTGACGACACTCAGGTTGTTTTTCTGCTGATTGCTTGAAAACCTTACAAAGAGGAAGTGTGAATTGTTCAGTATCGTTGCTTTTCACCTAAGAATTTACTTGGTATCTTAGCTTAATTGTGAATCGTCATCTTCTAGAATTGGAATTTAATAGAAAAGGGTAATCTTTATAATTCAGAATTTTCCTAAAAAACACTGAGATGCTTGTAGTCAGCTCAAGTGCACACAGTAATTCCTATAGATGATTTATTTTTCTTCCTTAATAAGACTTTCTGTGCTTACTTTGTCTAGTAGTAGTGTATGAAGTCATGTTGCACCTGTTATGCTGGCGGAGAGCAACATCTGTGTCCAAAAGGACACCACAGAATAACACCCCGTGTAAAACTAAAAAGGAAGAAATGTATTCAAACTTTGCAGACCTGCATGATAAAGACAAGTTATCTAGCTGTATTTTGAACGGTCCTGGTAGGTTTGCAATACTGAACTCGTCGAATGTGAGGGTGTATTTGCAGTGGCACACACAGTATTTAATTTTTATAGCAGTGGTTCAACAAAACCTGTATGTATGTTCTGATACGGCAGCAGCAATTTGTGTACGCTGATACCAAAATGATTTGTACTGGAAGGTGAGTGTCACTGTTCTGCGGGGAAGGTGAGGTATGCTTAATTTAAATTAGTTTCCTCGGGTTTCAAAGCTGAGAGATGAGAAGAGCCAGAAGTAGAAGCCAGGCCTCCTGATCCCCGTGACCGGAGCCCACAGATTCCTGTGCGCTACAGGACTGGGGACAATTGTCTGTGTGCGCTCTTTTAGCCTGCAGGTAGATGAAATGTGATTTGAATTGGAAGAGCAGTCTTTTGCTGAAAGCTAAGATCCCTTTTCTGCTGCTGGGGATGTGCATGCAGACAGTTATTGCAAATCATCTGCCACGAGATGGTTTGTTATCTTGAGATATTTTTAAGTAGAACTAGATCACAGAGTCTTCGTTGGTTAAATGCAGCGCTTTCTTGTTACAGAGCCTTGTCTTTGTGACTTAATTTATAACCAGCTTGTTTTTGTTAATAATAATTCTTTGTTCTTCCTTTTAGATGAATGCTTACTAAAATCTCTTGTACACCCTATCTCTGCCTGTTTTTCAGAAGTTAATATTTCCAGGAATTGTACTTTTTTTGACTGGTGGAGACATCTTGTTCCAACTAGCTGATATTCTTATGAGCTTGGATAATTCCTTTTAAATGTCAGAAGAAATTTTGTTTAGAAAAATTAACAGAATCTATAAATATTTGAGAATCACAGCTGTTTTCATTGAAGTTGTACTGGAATGCTGTTTGAAAGAGCATCACCCTTAGTCATAAGACATCACATACAGGAAAGAGGAAGCAGCATAACTCTGTGCAGAAGAGTTGATAGGAGCTTTTAATTTAATATATGGACAGCTAGATATGATTGCAAGTTGATTTATTTTTTTTCCTAAGCAGAGTATTATTAGTGTAGGGTATCATGGCTGAAATCTTAAACTAAGGAAATGCAAAAGGTTTTTACACTCTGTTGTGACTCTGATCTCACGAACATGTGGCGTGTTTTATGTTTATCCACAGCCAGAAGTCATGAACAGTGTGAATAATAATGCTGCTGTTTGTATAGTTTGAATATATTTAGATATTGGCTTGCATTTTTTGGAACAATGAGAAAGCCATGTGGTTAGCAGGAATTGCCTGTAAAAAAAATGTATTTATTCAAGATTCTCCGTCTGTCTTTAATAATGGCAACAAGGAGATGTATTTAAGATTATCACAGCAGTAACTTTTGTGGAGATGCTTCTCAGTGCAAAGATACATTAGGGATTTTGCCGGAAACAGTTGTTAAATCTTTCCATTTGTTTACATCCATTTTCCAGACAGTATTCAACATCGATCCTCCAGAAGGCACAACAGGTTTCATGCCACGTCAGTCGATATCTAAATATTACAAGGTATGGTATGCTTTGTGTTCCACATTTTGCCTCGCTGCCATTTGATGCTTAGTGTGTCCAAGACTCGGAAGGGTGTGGATAGTATAGCAAATGATGATGTTGATTACAGGGAGGACATGTAAGTTCTTTTGGGGGAAAGGAAAAAAAAAAAAATCACCAAAGGAACTGTGGTTAGTTTAGGTCCCAAGGAAAAAGGGGAGCTACATGGTAATTTTTAAAGAAACTCTAAAATGAAAATAGGAAAGTACAGCAAATGTGAGTTATTGAAAACTTTGATACTGCATATTATGCAAGAATTGATGTGTTCTTCCAATAATCTGTTCTCTTGACTTTAGTTTAGCCTATTACCCCCAAGCAAGTACAATAAAGCCACCGAACAAAATTCCCTCCCAAAGTCCTTATAATTTATTTAGAGTTTGGGACTTATGGGCTGTGATGCTATAATGAATTTTAGGAACAGATCTTTTTTTAGATAAAAAGTAACTTTCATATGAAGTTTAAGACTTGATACTATTTTTGTTGCCAAATGAAGCAAGTCTTTCTAACACAATAAATTTTTTCTAGTCTGCGTGTTTTATTCTGGTGGGCAATACCCAAATAACTGGGTTTTTGGTCTCTGCTCAGGGCAGCCCATGAAAAGCTGCTCCCATAAACTGTCTCAGAATGGCTGGTTAAATGGTGATATACTTCTTTGCTTCTTGTTAGATACATTATGAAAGACTGGAAACAAAATAGGAAAGACAGACAGGAAATAATATGACCTTACTAACACTAGAAGAGTGACACTAATTACATTAACTACATTTAATATGGACTAGCTTTTTTGAGGGATGGAGCGCAAGTTCATTTCTGTAGCCATCTCTATAAATGTTTCTGTTTTCCTGCAGGTACATATTCATCTGGATAACAGTAATCAGAAGAAGAAACAAAGGACAGATCTCTGGAATTCATCATCTACAAAAAAACAAGGTACAGGAATTGTTCTTGGGAAGGCTCATGCAAAAGCTGGATTGAAAATTACTCAACTGCTCCTTTCGATTCAAATAAGAGAAAACAATTGAAGACATCCCAATCTGCATTACTTCACATTTGTGAACAGGGAATCCTCTGGCAAATTATGGAATGTTATGTAGGATTTCAAGTGGAAGACCACCCGTGTTACCTTAAATGTTAAAAATGACTCTGAGGAATAAAGGGCTGAACAGAATAACTCAGTGAGGGCATGCTGCAGATCTGTCTATGCAAAAAATTTTTTAAACCCAAATGGCATAATAGTGTTCCTCATAGAGCTGGAAGGTCTTAAGTGCGTGATTTGTATGCCATGTTGCCATGGTCCAAGTTAAAACCATCAGTAGATGTGGGACTGCGAAAGATGTTTTTGTCCCCTCCACACACACACTCAGCAGAGAACCAGTGGGTGGTTTGATTGTAGGGTGTTTTTTGGTCATCTTCTGTAAGATGAAGAGACTTGGACCATTAATGTTGCCCAGAGCTCTCTTTCTCTAGAACAGGGTAGAGGCTGTGGGACTTTAAGTTTGAAGAATTCTAGGATTGTTTGAGGGAGTTCCTTTGCAGTTTTATGTTTCCAAGTACAGCTTCATTATGGATACGATGAGTTGAGGAGGTGTTTTTCACTTTTATAGTTAATTCTAAAGGGGAGGTGACATAAGCAATCTCAATATAAAACGTTCTTGTACCAGTGCTGCTTTGTGCACTGCTGGAGTTCTTGTAGTGCAAGTTTTCCAGTGAAAGAAGATCATCTTCATTATGAAATGGTTGCTTGTATTGGTGTAGAGACAATCTTCAGACCAGCCCAAGAATGGGAAACCCTCCTTCAGGATTGACGTTGAGGTTTATGAAATGTTCTGTTATCCTCATACCTGCTATATTTCTCTGTATAACTGTGTTGTGTTAAACACAAAATTAGTGTTGCTAAGGCTGTAACTATCTTTTCCAAGAGGAAGGGTTTTTTTTTTTTTTTATAGATACAATACTGAAAATGTGTGCCAAAAGTGTTACAAGAGTAAATTTCATGGAAGTTCTTAATCTGTTGAAATTACTCATATATAGTGGAGGAGTTATAATTGGTTTGCTCATTCTGAAGCTCTGTAACAAAGGTTCATGTGATGTGTCAGAAATAAAGCTTGAGACTGAATTCTTGGCCAGAAAATGCTATGTCAGGTAACAGCCTCAGGGCACTCTTACTGTCTCTGAGATATGACCTTTTTTGAGCAACTTCTGAAGTTCTTCAGGGCACGTTGTCACTTCTTGACAGTTTCAGCCTCAACTAGACTTTTCAGTCCTTCTTGTTCAACTGAGATTTCCCCCTCTCCTTGTCTCTCTCCTCCCACCTATTTTGTTCCTTATGCTCTGCAGAACTTGGTATCTGGAACTACCTCAATATAACCATGCTTCAAAACAACATATTTAGAAGAAAAGAAACTTGTCTTCTGAATCAAAGGTTTATCCTAAGGTTTCTGTAAAGCAGGACCAAGCTTGGCTTTGTTGGACTTCAACATTCATTCTTTCTGATACTTTTATTTATTTTTTTAATAAGTACAGTTAGGTGGAAAACAAAACATTTTTTGATTAGAGAGGACAGATGCAGATCCCTTTACCTAAGTGTTCTTACTAGAATAGTCTCCAAGGATCTTTGTAAATACCTTGCCTCATGACCATCTGCTTAATTACTCAGTTAATGCTCTTGAGAATGTATTTGTTTCACAGAAGTCCTTTTCTCTTTTCGAAGAATGAGTTTCCACGAATTTAGCGGTATTGCGCGTAATGTCCCCTTGTGTGTTTCCGCAAAGTAAGTTCTGTTCTGTTTCTAACAAAGCATGCTGTTTGGTATTCTGCAAATAGGGTTTTCCTGAGCTATTGCTCAATTGGAGTTTGAAGTTAATGGGAATAATTATAAGTAGATTTTGTTAAATATTTGTGCAGCAAAAGGCTAATAGAAACACTTTAGGCTTATTGCATAATTTGGAGGATACATACATAAAACCAATACAAAGCAGTCACAGAATTCTCCTGTGATTTGGTATCCACATACTGATATATTTGGTTTTCAAATAAAAACAGTATTTGCAAGTACCTATGCAACAGACTAGCAATTTGTTGAGGCTTGCACTATGTGCAAACCTAGCAGAGGCCAGACAAGAATGATCAAGTCTCCAGTTTCCTGTAGTGGTGTAGCAGATTGTATAGAAATGATGCAAACCTTTTAAGAATAGCTGTTTTCAAAGGATTTTGTGGAAATTATTCACTCAAGTGTAATTCTCTACAAACTGTAGTTGGGGAGGAGAAGTAGCATAGCTTGGGATAGCTGATGAGATTACTGCCCTAGCTATCTGTTCTGTGCACGGATGCCACTTATGGATGCAATATTGAACTGTTGCAGTTTTACGTTAAGACAAAATGTTCATGCTCTTGGTTTGCTCGAAATCACCATGTTGTAAATTATTAGCAAACCACTTCTCCATGGATTAGCTGTCCTTGTACTAGGATGGAAAAAGCTGCTGCAGAGCTCTACTTTGTGTAACATCCGACAGTTCCTGCTGGTGAATGGGACCTTTAAAATGGATTTAGTATTGTTAAGCGTAAAGATATAATTGCAGACCACCAGGCTAAAAATGCACAATTCCAGCTTCTCCAAGAACTGGGCAGCTGATGCCTGGCAGTCATCCTGCAGGCTTACAGAGAAGTGTGTTTCAAACTGAGCATCGGTGAGGCAAACGTGAGTGGCTGGTGTTCTTCTAGGCCATCCCATATCAGCACAGTCTGCTTTGATCCTGGAATTTCTTAGGCTCTGACATAAGTGACTTTGCTCTTGTCTGTAGATACTTACCGGCCTGGCCACATACAGATCCTAACTGTAATTTGTACCAATTGTTAGTGTGAATTAAAGAGATACAGAATTTGCTAAATTTTGGAATGTGATTCTTCTACAATCTGGACATTGTCTGGATGGATTTGTCCAAATGAGATGGAAGGATAAAACTTTAGCTTAAAATAAATGTTCTCTTGTAATCTGAAGCAGTAAGTGACTCACTGGGCACATATTACTGGAGATTTCCTGAAACTGTCAGCTCCTTTTTGGAAACATAGTCTTTGAATGAAGCATGTACACTTAAAAGATGTGCACATGATATGTGGATGCAGATTTTTTTTTTTTTTTTTTTTTTACTGAAACTAATCATGCAAAACAGAATTGGAAACAGAAGCTAATGTTTCATTTGGCTGCTCTTGTTCTTGACGTAGATGATTTTTTTCATTCCCTTGTTCCTTTGGCTGTCTCTGAAAAGCTGATGCTAAGTTTTCAGCAAGACCACCAGTGGTACAACTATAAGCTGAGCAATGAAAGAAATGACTAGTGTGGCATCCATTTTCTTCTTTCTATACTTTCTGTTGGTAATTTATAGTATGCCAGATTTTTAGTGTCATGCACATTTGTATATCCACATCCCACAAGAGATTTGAGCAGAAGTTGAAAGGTTTGGCAGTTGATTGTGGGAAGAGGGAAAGTCTAGGTGAAAGGTTTATAGCCATTGGAAATTCCTGATGGAGAAGGAGTTCTTCTCTTTTCAAGCAAGAGCAGGGGTGGAGATATTTTTTAGTAACTTCAGCTGCTTGTCCTTCATCCCAGCATTCTGCAGTTCTTCTACCATGCTTCCCCTTCCAATTGTCATTGACAGCAGGAAGCAAATCAGTGGATGGAGGACTGAGTAGTTTTAGCTGCTCAATCTGCCTGTTAGTTGCCCACAAAAAGATCTGATGTTCTGTCTTTTCTATAACCGTCTTTTGACTGAAAGTATAATCTACTTGAGGTGTGAGGGAGCGATGACCTTTTAAACTAATTTTTGAATGGGCATAGTAATTAAATCTGGGAAGGACCAAAGCAGAACATGCCATACATCTGGAATTTTAGCTTCAGGTGCTGGCTGGTTTACTTTCAGAAGTTCAGGTACAATGTGCTGTATGCTAGTCATATTCTAATTTTTCCACTTACAGACTTGCTTCTTAGTGTTTTCTCTTTATTTGATACAGGAAAGACCTTAAGCTACTGGTGTTTCAGCCCTGGATACAGCATGCATGAGCTTGTTCGACAGGGAGTCAGGACAATTATCCTTACTAGTGGGACTCTCTCCCCTCTCTCGTCATTTACTATGGAAATGCAGATGTAAGTACCTAGATGTGTGAATGGTACCATTAATGAAAACGCACAATCCGCTTCCATGATTTTAGGTCTTATCTCAGGATTTTTGAGTGTTCTGGACTGGTAGCTAGTAGGGAATCATATAATGAGTATGACTGGGATCTTACTTTTGTGTTTCTTTAGCCCTTTTCCTGTTTGCCTGGAGAATCCTCATGTTATCGATAAACACCAGCTCTGGGTTGGGATCATTCCTAAGGGACCTGATGGAGCTGTGCTTACTTCTACCTATGAAAGAAGGTAACGGAATTCTGCTTTGAAGTCTGGGGTTCCAATATTTTGGGTTCTGCTTACAGGAGGGTGGTAGTGAAATAAGTGGTCTCTGTAGTTCTTTTCTTGGATAAACACTGTGCTGACTAACAACACCCTTTAGCCACTACTGTTGAAAATTTGGAACTGGAGGGCTGGAAGGGATCGTATGCCAGGGTACTGAGTGCACTGACAGTCCTTAATGACCCTGACCGGCCTTAGCGGGGACCTCCACCCATAACCATCACCCAGGAGCTCCACTTAAGGTCTGGCATAGGCCTTCAGTCACTGCCCAAGCTGCAGGAGTATCTGTCTCCAGCTCCATTGTACCCACACCTGGCCATGGACCCTGTTGATCTGACCCCGACCTACTGATTGACTTCCTGGTTTGACCATGGACCTGCCTCGCCATCCCTGGGCTGTGACGCTCCTTACTGTCACTGGACCTGCTCCTGGTTTACTGACTTGCATTCCTGGCTTGACCTTGGACCTTCCCCATCACCATGACTTTGTCTGATGGTCTGGACTTGTGATTGAGCCTGGCTGCTGCATCCAAGTCTTCCCTGCTTGCCTTGCTTTGTTACTGTGGGCCTGGGCCCTGGCTGGCAAGACCCCTGCCCTGCATGCCTTCATATCATGCTCAGGTACCACCTCCCTGTCCCTTGCAGAGCGGTCCACTCTCACTGACATGGAGCCCAATCCTAAATTTCTTTGTTGAAGGCTTAATTGATTTGAAACATGACTGGCTTTGCAACAACTATTTTTATATTTAAAGCTTGTCACCATGACCAGCCTGTCTTTTACCTCTGCATTCCCTTCTTAAGGAAAATAATCCAAATGTTTGTCAAGCTTTTCATCATCTTTTTTCTTGCTTTTCCTCTGGTTTTTCATCATTTTGCCTGCGTCTTTCTGGTCTTCAGAGTAGACAGTGCTTCTGCTACAGCTTCTGCTGCCAGCAGAATATACTGCCAGCAAGGAAGGCCAAAACTTGATTTCACTGTATATTGACTTCCATTGTGCAATATGATAGTCTCACTGACATCTCTGCATATAATTTTAAAAGGCAGTTTCATGCTTTGGTGCATATGGCAGAAGGTTCTGTGCTTGCCAGTTCTCTGAATTTCCTGGCATCACATTGGTGCTAGTACTGTGTTTAGGGATGTAATCCTTCTGTAGTATTTGGAAACGATGATTGGTTCTTTGCGTATGATACATGTGTTCTTCCATTTAACTTTCTTCCTGTAGTACCCCAATTTTTATGTATTGGCACATTCTTAAATCTATTTCAATTTCAACATTATAGTCAAACCTCTGGCTCAGAATTCTGTAGCTTAGCCTGCTGTGGGCCTGACTTACTCTTTTTCAGCAATACCAGAAAAAAAAATAGAACTCCAAGAGCTTTTACTGAAAAAAAGGGAAAAATGCCAGATGTTCCACAGAACTGGAAAGGCTGTCAGCAATTGTAATTGATTTTTACAGAGAAGAAGAAGAAGCCTGGAAAACCCTCAGACTGTATTTTTCATTTTCAGAAGCTTAGTGTGCTGTTTCGGTGTATTTTGTTGAAGATTCTGTCTTTCAAAGGGTGAAGGATGGGGATCCCCCCCTAAGGCCTAGAACACCTTTTTTTTTTTTTTTTTTTTTTTTTTTTTTTTTTTAAAGGAGGGTAATTCAGTGTTTGCTCTGTTTTGGCAACATCTGTGTGGTAATACTGGTATTTGTAGGTTTTATAAAAATCAATCTGTTCGGTTCCTTCCCCCGCCCCGCATATGTAAGTTTCCTGGGAAAACAGTATGCAAAACTGCAGGGCACTAAAAAGAATCATAAAGGCATGAGGGAACAGGTGACTCCTCAGTCAGGGCTGGAAGAAACAGATAAATACAGCTCATTGTAGAGCAGTACTTCTTCAGTCAAAGCAAAAGTGATTGACTTGGCTGATGCCACAAGTAAATAATAACCATAGTAACCAAATTCACCCTTTTTGCCCCTGCAGCCTCACCACACCTAATTCATCCATAATTATTTTAAATACTTGTAACATTAGTCAGGCTTGGCAGCATCTGCAGACTTTTGTGGCAGACCTTTCACTCTTCAATTGTCAGTGTTAATCATAAAACTCATATGTCTGCCCATTTCCACTTGTTACATTTCGATAATATTGAAGCTTAGATCATCTTCAGTGCTACTACTAATATTTAATAGTACTACTAATGCATAGTCAAGATATTACTAATTTTGTGCCCTTGATATGGGTGCTTGCCACAGGAAGGAGAGCAATTGGGAGTATGGATATGCTATTTCAGATGAATATCAGAGGAAGTCAACATGTATGAAAGACATAGAAAAGGAAATACAATTGTGTTACTTAATTTTTCTTCTCTGTAGGTTTTCAGAGGATTATTTATCTTCTCTGGGGAAAACAATTGGTAAGTGAAGTGTGCGGATTTCAGAAATGGGTTGTTGCCCAGGATTTTTAGAGACCTCCTAGAAGGAGAAATACTAAAGACATAATAAGACAGCCAAAGGTAAAGGATTGCGTTACATACCTAAATGCTGTCTGGCTTTGTATGCTTCTGTGTGCTCAGGCAGCTCTGGCTGCTGTAACTGCATGCAAAAATGAGTTTGAATTCTTGGTTTAATATTTCCAAGTTAGGAGTTCATTTCTATTGTCAGATGTTTGTGTTTGGGTCCAAAATGTGGTTCCTAAACACGGTCAGAAAGTGGCGCAAACTAGAAAATCAATGCGCAGAGATGATGCAGCCAACCGTCCTTTGCAGAGCAATTAAGGATCACAAGAAGTCATTGCAATTTCTTGTGATATTTTTAAAGGCACTGTGTCAAGCCCTCCTTAAGTTAGCATTTATTGTTTTGCTAATGTTTTGCAAATATAATAGAACTACAGAATTTAACACATGAGGACAGAATAAAAGAAGAGCATTTGTGTAGCTTGGCTGAGATATGATTGAAAGTAATCTGTTAAATCTAGAAATGTTTGAAGGAAATGGAGGAGAGTGCTCTGAGGTGTTCAGCTTGGCCTAAAAGGTGAAATTAAGAAAATGCTTTCACAAAATACCAGATTAATGTTTTTTCAGTAAAGTATATGCTATTTGACTAGAAAAACTCTCAAAAACAATCTTGTGGTACCTCATCCATTGCTTTGAATGTTTAGCCTGCAGAGGACAAAGGGTGGAGAAAATGATCTAAAAATAGATCCTACTGTCACAAGGGAACATAGGACAGATGATGATGTATCTTTTGTCTATAGTGTTTGGTGTAGCTCATAATATCTTTTATCCTGTAAGCACTAAGCTTTAGAAAGCTAGTTAGGCATCTGTATTAAACTTTATACCTTGACGACAAGATTATTGAAATGATTTAAAAAAAAATGAAACAACTTCTAATACACAAACATTCATGTCAACAAGTAGAAAAGATTTTGGAAGGAACCCATGCTGCTAGTTTTTATTTTTCCTCTGCAGTCTATGTACTCCATCCCAGGATAAAAATGCCCTCAACAATATCCTTGTCTGTCTCGTTGCAGGTAACCTTGTGCGAGTTGTGCCACACGGACTGTTGGTGTTCTTCCCGTCGTATCCTGTCATGGATAAGAGCCTGGAATATTGGAGAGTATGTTAATTACTCTGCCTTTTTAGGTGGTTTAGTTACACGCATCAGTCAGTTTGTAGTTGTGCTGTCTAACCATGCTCATTAAAAATTCTTTGTTAATAAGTACATTATAAAATCTGGAAAGTAAAAACCCAGGTCAGGCTTCTTTTATTTTGATCACAATACACCGAAATGCAGTGTTGCAGAAACCAAACCCAAAAGAATCTTAATACGTTATCTTATCTGATCTCAGAGTTCATTTAATTTCGCCAGACTTCTCTTTATTAAACCTTCAGATTATAGTTGGTCTAAGTGTTTCAACTCTTGGGGAAAAAAAATCCCCATATAAGCGTTTCTCTTTATTTTCAATTTGTAAGTGTTGCAGCTTTAACTTTTGTAACCGCTACGCGCATGACTTGTGTCCCTGGTGAGACTTGGACCATTTAACACAGAAGTGTTCCACCAACTGGTTAAAAGTGGCTGCTGGGACAGAGGTGGTGTACTGCAGAGTGGGTCTCTGGGAGGTGGATGTTGGGAACTTGCAGGTGGGAAGGAAAAGAAATGGATCTCCCATCTGTGTGATGTCTGAGTTGCACACACTGCAAGGAGTCACGGTAGTGGCGTTAGGATCGCGTGTTTCTGCTTCCATCCCTTCCTGCGTTTGGCAGGAGAGGAACAGACTGCGTTGGGGAAGTCTGTGGTGACCACTCCTGAGCATTTCCTTTCTTGTGGGCGCTTCTGGTACGTGCTTACTTTCACATGGCCGTTTCTGACATGTTCGTTATCTGTTTAACAGGAACATGATTTTGCTAAAAGAATAGAAGAAGTGAAGCCAATGTTTGTGGAACCCAGGAACAAAGGAAGCTTTGCAGAGGTTGGTTATTTGCATTACATACCTATAACACCTTCAGAAACCGTTTAAATATGTTTAAATATATATGTTTAAATATGTTTAAATATGTTTAAATATGTTTAAA